GTTTGTCTAATAAGACAAGACTTATCCATCATTTTCAGTATGTCAGCGTCTCGATTCTTAGATTCTGAAGAATCTGAGAAATCGTGGAGATATTAAGTCATGAGGGACTTCTTCTTGAGGTTAAGATTAACCTTAGAGGGAGTAAAAAGTTGCAGGTACCACAGGTTGACATTCGCCGCGATGAAGAAGAGCCAATCGACAACAACGGATCGTGCCATGATGGTAAACCGACGCTTTCCATTCAAGGATGCCATGTCTGAGTCTCAGTACCCTGGGAGATTACAGAGAGAGTCTTCGCCACCAGCATTCCGATTAGAGATCCGCCAGCAGCCAGGAAAGGACGACCAACATATTTCAGAGTTTCGTTTTGAGATCATGTCTTATCAGTGGAACACCTTACTTCAGAAAATTGTCCATTTTCAGTCAGCAGTATTCTACAATTCACTTAATTGTGAATTGATGTATCTTCAGTTCAGATCAAGTCTTTTATTCAGTATTAAATTACTGGATTCTTAAGTCATGCAATCAGTAAGTATAAGCTTTAAGTTAAGCTTGTACATTTCAGTTTTACTGTTTCCGAGGAGCTCAAGAAGAGGTTAACTTCAGCACCGGTGTTGACTATTCCCGATCCTTCTCGGAGTTTCACTATCTTCAGCGATGCTTCGAGATAAGGCTTGGGAGGTGTCCTTATGCAGGACGGACGGGTCGTTGCGTATGCTTCACGTCAGCTTAAGCCTCATGAGCAGAACTATCCTACGCACGACTTAGAGTTAGCCGCAGTCGTTCACGCCCTGAAGATCTGGCGACATTATCTATACGGCGGACGTTGCGAGATATTCACTGACCATAAGAGTCTACAGTACATCTTCACGCAGAAGGAGCTTAATATGAGGCAGCGCCGTTGGCTCGAATTGGTCAAGGATTATGATTGTTCTATTCAATACCATCCGGGAAAGGCGAACGTCGTCGCAGATGCCCTAAGCCGAAAGGTGACGGGAGACTTGACGTACGTCATTACGCAGCAGAGTCCATTGATTCACGGTTGCCCGGATGAAACTTCAGGCGATCGATGCACTTCCCATAGTTGTCTCGGGGAGTACCAGTGCCAGTGTCAGTGCTATGCAGCTTCAGCCGACACTGAGGGAGAAAATCCGGCGAGAGCAGGCTTCTGACGAGTTTGTTCGTGTCATGGAAGCCAAGGTTCGCGCCGGAGGTGTACAGGATTTTCAGCTAGGCGCCGATGGTGCCTTGGAGTTCGGAGGCAGGATCGTGGTCCCGAAGGTCGAGACGTTGCGGAAGGAGATTCTTTCAGAGGCACATACCGCACCTTACTTGGCCCATCCCGGGAGCACGAAGATGTATCACGACCTAAAAGGGT